TATAGTTTTGATTTCTGTTGGGGAAGGAGCAGGGATCCTAATATAGTCTTGCAGGATTCCCAGAGTTCAGCATTTTCATGCTGCTCTTTGGGGAGTTGAACTTAAGTATCTCGATTTCTCTGTATGATTTGAAACCCTGGATTACCTTCTCACTTGGTTCCCAGACATTGAAGTTTCCATTTCTCTTCTCCGGCCATTCTGCTGGCTTCTATTCCTCCTTTTGTATTTTTATTTTTATTATTTTAATTTTTTTTCTCCTTTTGTATTTTTAAATGTTGGTGCCTTTTCCAGGGCAGGACTAGCCATTGACAATTTTCTCCCCATTGACTTCCTTAGCAACTATACTCTCTTATCCCATAGCTTCAACTACCACTACCATCATGCCACCCCACACAGATACTGCTCTTTGGTCTAATGTGGCCATTACTACATTGTCAGATCAACATATCCCTGTTAAATGACCCACATGAGAAAATTCAGCAAAGGAAAATAGAATGCTGGTCCCCTGAGTCACCAATCATCTGGACTGTCAACCTTATCATACTGCTTCTAAGAGGTGATATGACACTGTAAGAAAAGGCCTGGCTGGTATGTGTGCTTCGGCATTGGTCCTGAGTTAGAACCAGACCTGTTTTTATTACTGTATCTGTATAGCCTAGGGGAAGCTTCCCACCACAAATTTTTATTGACTTCAGAGGCCTCGTGGACCTGAATTCATCAAACAATCCATTTGATATCTTTTCCATGTTTCTCACTGAAGTGTTTCTCTATGGATCCCAAGCCATAGTATATATTCCTCATTCTGTTGATAACTTTGAAGCTAATCCCTCTGCCTGCTGATTTGTAATACACGCATGCCCACATCTAATAGGGCAAAGTAATCATAACAAGATCAGCTCTTTTATTGAGTGCTTACCTCGCACTAGGCACAATAATCACGTGAGTATTATTATCACCAAAATAGATAGGAAAACCAATCTCCAGAGCTATTTTGTAATTTCTCCAAAGTTATACAGAAAGTGGCAGAGTCAAGATTCAAGCCCAGTTGTTAATTCAGAACCTGGTCTCCCGCCACAATACTATAGAAGGCAATGAGTCTTTATTACTGTTTTGATTATCTACTCATTTGAATCTCTGTCAGTAGCATTCCTGCTTGGACTTCCTCATGGAGAAGCTTTAAATTAGACACGAATGGGTTTAAGTCTCAAGTCTCATTACCTAGTCCCACAACTTTGGTCAAAACACTATAACTCTACAAGTCAAAATCTTCTCCTCTGTAAACTGACATAATACCACCTATCTCACAGCATTGGGATGAGAATTAAGTCAGAAAATCATGATAAAGAACTGCATGTAGTGCCTGAAATATGCTCCACGATAGACATCTCTGATGATTATTGTTTCCCATCCTTGCTCCCCAACATCATCGGCTTCCCCCTTGTCAGAGCAGTATTCTTAATTATCTCTTTCACATACTCTGAAATCTGCCCAAAGGCAGGAACTGTATTATTAACCAGTTTTCTCAAGCACCCAGTCTACTGCCTGGCACTCAGATACAATTTGCATCCCAGTTGCCATAGAACACTTTGGCCATGAAGGCACTACCTTTCCTTGTTCTGAATTTCAGGCTATACTCCCCTCACCCCCCCCCCCACACACACACGGGCGTTTGTTGGCTTCCCAGTATTTTAGCTAATGGAACTTTCAGTGTTGTGTTGTTAAACACTGACACCTCCAAACAGTCCCTTCTGGCAGGGCTTTTCTGATCACTTATAGCCCCTGTAATCCAGTACAGAGAGAAATGCCCCTCTATGGGCAAGACAATTTCTATATGAGGAAATCTTCAACCAGAGTAGCTATGACATACATAGGAGACGTATGCAGAGATTGTAGAAGTTGGACACTGTTGGGTACAGCTTTTTGAGCCGAATTTGAAAAGCGTGAAGGACATCAAGGCTAAAATCTCATCATGGAAAGAGAAGATCAGAGCATATGGCTTGTCAAGCAAAGCAAGCCACCTTGTCCTTTCAGAAACAGCACAAAGGTACTATTAAGCATGTAAAATAGTTTTTGAGGTTACTTCTAGGGAATATAAATATAAATGCTAATAAATGAATATGTAGCTGAGGCATTCATAACTTCTGGTGAGTAAAGAACATTCAGAAAGATATTCTAATGGAACCAGTCAGTAAATGAAAATGTTTTCATTCTAAAAGTGAGGAAGAGTTTTAATCAAACATATGCTAAGAATGTAATAATATTGATGTGTACTGATTTAAAGAACATTGAATCAAAATGTTTACTTTTTTCAAAGACCATCTCCTGTGATATGACTTTCTGAGACCTAATTTGAAAGATATTCTGACTGTATGAATTGATATTTTATACAGCATGAGTTGTTCACAGGTGTTTTATCAGAAAATGAATGTCTCTTTTTTTGTTGTTCATACAGTAATGTGAGGAATGGCATAATAAACTGGTTGAAAGAGGGAATGCTGAAAATGGTTATATGAGAAGAATTTGAATTTTTTAAAGATGAGAGTTGTGGCAGACATATTCTGAGATGGCCCCCAGTGATCCCACCTTCTGGCAGTCATGTCCTTAGGTTATCTTCTCCCTTTAAGTGTGGACAGAATTTGTGGCTTGCTTTTAACCAACAGAGTATGGCAAAGGAAATAGGATGTCACTTCTGTGATTATGTTATACAAGATTATGACTTCCATCTAGCAGACTCTTTACTAAAGCCCACTACCAGGCTCCATGAGCTGCCCCATGGAGATGCCCACATGGCAAGGAACTGAAGTCTATATCCAGCCATCATCTTGAAAGCAACCAAGGCTCTAGCTCAAAGCTCAAAAGGAATTGACTGAGTCATGTCAAGAACTCCGGAAGTGATGTTGGAAGTGGATACTTCCTCAGTTAAACCTCCAATGAGACCCCCCCAGGCTTGGCCAACATCTTAAATGCAGCATCAACAGAGACACCTGGGTGGGTCAGTGGTTGAGTGTCTGCCTTCAACTCAGGGTGTGATCCCAGGGTCAAGTCCCACATCCGGCTCCCTGCTCAGTGGGGAGCCTGCTTCTCCCTCTGCCTGTGTCTCTGCCTCTCTCTGTGTGTCTCTCATGAATAAATAAATAAAATCTTTAAAAAGTAAGAAAGGGATAAATGTGTAAAAAATGGTCACAGCAACATTGTAATAACAAAACATGAGAAACAACCCAATCTCTAGTAACAAGAGACTGGATAATTAAATTATGCTGAGGTCACCTGATGACCTGACATAGAGGTGAGAAAATTGTTTTTTTTTTTTTGAGGTGAGAAAATGAATAACCTATAGCTTTATTCATCAGCATAAAGAAATCCCAGAAGCATTAGAATGACTGAAAGAACTAAGATGATGACTACGTGTAGTATGACATCATCCTCATGAAGATCCAAAAACTGAACAATATACTGTTTAGGGATGCTTATAAATATAATGGAAGTATTAAAAAAAGAAAAGCAAGGGAAAGATAAAAGTAAACTTGAGGAGGTGTTTGCCACTTTGGAGGAGGTAGGGACACAGGGTAGATGAGAGGAAAACAAAGGTAGCAGCAAGGGCACTGGGAATGTTCTAATTCCTAAGTTGGTTGGTAAGTTTATAAGTTTTCATTTTCTCATTAGGCTTCCTATTGTATACAACTCATCCTTTGGTATGTACCAACTGTCTTTGGGATGGTGGAGACAAATATCTAATAAAGATAATACTCAAACTTCAGGGAACATCTAAGAAGTTAGATTTGTAGGGCACCTGGGTGGCTTGGTCAGCTAAATGTCTGGCTCTTGATTTTGGCTCAGGTCATGATCTCAGGGTCGTGGGATGGAGCCTCAAGTCAGGCTCCACACTGGGTTTGCAGCCTGCTTAAGATTCTCTACTTCCATGTCCCTCTGTACCTCCCCCTGGCCCCCCAAATAACTTAGTTTTGTAAATATAATGTTTCCTATTTCAAATGATAGTACTTTGAAAAGACAACACAATTGAGTTGTTTAGATCAAAATCTTTGCATGTTTGATGGTGTCTGGGTGGCTCAGTCAGTTCAGTGTCCAATCCGTGATTTCAATTCAGGTCATTCTCTCGGAGTTGTGAGATCAAGCTCGGCATCAGGCTTCGTGCTGGGTGTGGGGTCTGCTTGGAATTCTCTCCCTCCCTTTCATTTTTTTAAATTTTTTTCTCCTTCCCTTTCATTTTTTAAAAATTTTTTCTCCCTCCCTTTCATTTTTTTAAATTTTTTTCTCCCTCCCTTTCTGCCCGCCCCCATCCTTGCTCACTCTCTCTCAAAAATCTTTTTTTTCTCTCAAATATCTTTGCATGTTTGACCACATGATATGTGTTCCCTGAGATAAATACAAGTAACAGATTTAAGCAAACTCAAAAATAAACCTAATGGAGTGAAAATGTGCAGTTTGAAGAACCATAGTATTTTGCCCAAATTTCTCAACTTTGATGTTTTAAGGATGCTTTTGCATTAAAGGTTAAAAGAAAGACGCTAGCATTCATATTTCTCATTGCAATTTTTTATTTCTGTCCAAAGGCTTTTCATATTATTCATTATATAGGTCTTTATTTTTTTCAATGGATACAAATTTCATTTAAAGGTACTGGATTCTTGGTGTCTTTTTTTTAAAGGGAGTGAAAACACAAATGTCATATATCAAAAGGGATGAGATGACACAGCTTCAGAGGTACACAAAAGCAAAATAAAATGAAGTGAAAAGTAAATAGACAAAAATCAAAATAACATCAAAGGGAGATCAACAGAAATCGACACACACAACACCGAAACCAACAAACATCCCAAGAAGGAAGAAGTGAAACCAAAAGAAACATAGAAGGAAAGAAAACGGTAATGTTGAGCGTTCCCACAAAGTGGTTTGTTTCATCCCTTTAGACCCGTAGAGCAAGGCATCCAGGCCCTGAAATAAGTCAGCCTTTGTTTGCTTGTGTGGAGTCCAGCCCCGCCCTAGTGCTGTGATCCTCTGTGCTTCTGGTCATACTCATTCACCAATCTTTTGATGTGGACCAGCTTGTCATAAAGATCCTGGCACTTTTGTTTTTCTGCGCAATAGTTCGGATTCCTCTGCTTCATCTTCTGGTATTCTAGCGAGATTGTTTCGTTGATCTCCTGATACTCTTTCGACTCTGGAGGAAAGCGCTTCCTCTGCGTATCTAGGTCAATAAAGATGCTGGACAGAGACAGCATCTTGTGGTACAAGGCCTGGTAGTCATCGTACTCTGCTCGGAAGTCCTGCTCGTAGCGCTGACGCTGCTCGGGGGAGACGATGGTGACATAGGTGGCCAGGTACCTGGGGACCTCGGGCGCCGCCCGGGCCCCTGCGGGAGCGCTGCAGCCCCGGTGCGCACCTGCGCGGCCTTGGCCCCTGGGCTCGCTGACCTGTCCCCACGGCCCGTCACTCTGGTGGTCCTGCGTCGTCGCCTGGCTCCCCTGCATGCTCTCTGGGTAGGTAAACTGAATGGAAAGAGAGGGGAACGTCTTCACGGCGACCTGTCTCCCGCGGTGGCTCCTGAAGATCTTAGATATGCGAGTCCGGTGGCCGCGCGCGTTTCGGGGCGCGGGTCTTGCGGCGGCGCTGCAGGCTCTGCCGCTGCTGCTGGGTGTCGCCGGCCCGGGCGGCTGTGACCCTGCGGGGCGCGGCAAGGGCGCCGGCGGGGCCGGGGCCCGGGCGGGGGCCGCGGCGGCGGCGGCTTCGGAACGCGGCGACGGAGTGGGGTCGTTCCCGCGGCCACCTAGGGTTCCCTGCGTGGCCGGGACCCGCGCCAGGCGAGATATTCGGATCTTCCTCCTCGCCAAGTGCACAGTGGCCGCGGTGAACAGGTGCTCCTGGGAGGCCACTGCATCGGCTTGGGGACACGTAGAAGCTTCTGGGCCCTTGGCACCTTCGGCACTCTGCAACCCCTGTACTCTGCGGGAGAGCACCAGCTCCAGGGACTGCCTTTCTAGCTCGCTATAGCCAGGCCAGTCTTTCTGGAGCTCCTGGAAAACGTCATCTTTGAGGGTGTATGAAGAAGTCTGAGGGTTCACATTGGCCACTTGCTGCAGAAGGTCTCCAAGCGAGCTGACGTCGTTTTCGGTGACGCCGTCCTTCTGAAGGCGAATGAGCAGTTCGGGTTTCCTGTAGTCCTTCAGGGCCAGCAGGTGAATCACCCTCTCCCTGCACGGTCTCAGGTGCACGCTGCTGGTAGCTCGGGACTTTCGGATGGTGTATGCGGGGTTAATGGGCGCTGTTCTCTTCCTCTCGGGCACTGGATCCAGAGTGATCTGCGGTGTTTTCCGAATCTGCACTCTTTTCTCCACGCACGGCTTCCTGATTCTTCTCCATTTGTTGCACGGCCCCTCCTCTGCCTCGGTCCTCTTCTCTTCTGTCATCTGGCAAGGGTTGGTCGGTGTGGACATCGGTTCCTCTTGCATCGAGCTTGGACAGCAGAGCTCGGAGGGACTGTAGCTTGAGACCGGTTTTTGGGTATGGTCTTGATGGTTGTCCTCACCGACATCTGAGAACAAAAAGTCAAGGTCATATATATCTGTGATTGAGTCATCTGGGGAGATTGTGAAAAACTCTTCGAGTCCTTGGAACTGGAAAGAAGCCTGAGGAAGCACTGTAGTCTCATAGTTCTCAAAAGAGTCCATTGCTGAGATGGCCGATCCGGTGAGCTGCATGGGCTGCCCAGTGACAGGGCCGTGCGTTGGCCCTAAGCCATCGGCCTCCTGTATGGCCACCTCTCCTTCCTGGTCTACCAGGCTCCCCAGTGTTCTCCCTTCATAGGCTGCCATATAGTCATATCTGTAAAGATCAAAGTTCAAACAGTAAAATACTTTAGAAAACGATAACTCTCCTTGGAAAAAATATTCTTATTGCTATCATTTCAAAAACTGTGATTCTAAGAGATTTTTCCGCACAGAACAAAGCGAGAAGTGCCCGGTTGAGATAGAACCTGGAGAAGTAAAGCTGGTTCTAAAGATCTCATCCCTTTCCAATGTTCTCTCTTTCAGATCTTAGTCTGTCTTTAGGAGGAACTGTTACCCTCACTGGAAAGTGCTCAATTATTCCCTGAGCTCAGTGCATAAAAGTCATCTCCTCCCAGTAAATCCAACCTCAAGTAGAGGTACTTGGTGAGGGGATTACTAGGTGGTACAAGCTCATGAAAACTGGGGCACAATTAGCAGGAAGTCCTCCTTGCATTTACTCTGACGTGCCAGTGGGCTCTGGAGTCCTCGGGACTGAAGCCTGGCCCTCATTTCTTAGCTAAATATATTATTAGTGGTGTATAAAAGCCAAAATTTGAGAGCTGCTTGTTTCTCTTTCTCAACTTTCTAACCATTACCAATGAGTGGAAGGAGTTTGTACCTCCTTAGCTTGCCACTTGCATCCATTATTTGACTTCTTTGCACTCCTCCCCCAGAGGATCCTCAGCAAATCACAGGATCATCCAGGTGAAATTGCCCATGCGGAAAAAAAATCTTGCAGCTAGGCATTCTAGAGGTGTACAGTGTAATCACGGAATACACACAAATTACAAGAAATCATTCCAACCAGTTTCACCCCAAAAAACAGCAGTCACGATTCTCCCTCCTTTCCCCCTTCCCACTCCCAGGCCGTCTTATTTTCAGATCTCCTACCCTAACTGAAGGCCTCGCTTGCCACCTTATCACTCATCTAGAAAAAGCTCAGCATCATCTTCTTCTAGTCCCTCAATGTGTCCATGTATATTCAATCATAAGAAAGGACAAGCTGCAATTCGTGACAAGGAGGGACCTAGAGGGTGTTACACTAAGTGAAATAAGTCAGACAGAGAAAGAAAAATACCACATGCTCTCACTTACATGTTGAATTGGAAAGAGCCAAACTCACAGAAACAGACTAGATACAAACCTCCAGTTATAAGTTCTCAGGATCTAATGTAAATCACAGAGGTTGTAGTTAATAGTTCTGTGCTATATCATTGCTAAATGAATAGACCTTAAATGTTCTTCCCACCAAAAAGAAAGGATAGTCAGGTGCATAGCAGAGGGCACTCTCGCAATGTGTGTCAAAAGAATGAATAATAGTACCTTTGCATTTAGCCCCACAAAGATACATTCCTGTCACATCAAGAAGTTACACTAAGTCTGTTAATGTCAGTGAAATGTTCTGTTCTTTAAGATGTTTTTCATGACTCTGTTAACTTCACGGTATATTTGTGTTTTAAGAAATGAAACCACTGCTGCAGAGAGAATGTGAAATAGTTCCTCAGAAAACCAATGAACTGCTGAAGTACATTCAGCAAGACAGTGTTCTAAGGTATGCACAAATGCTTTGTTTGATTCTTTCTGGAGACCTCTAGTAGACACAGGAAGAAATAATATATCCTTCAGGATCTCTACATCTGCAACCTTTGGGAGAATGGCCAAAATATTTCTAGGATTGTCCTATACCCAGTGGAAATAACAACAAAATATTCCTTAACACAAGATGGGGAAGCAGGGCATGTTATAACAAAAAGCACAAAATGGTATTGATAGACAAAAAAAAGAAGACTTGAAAACATGAAGAATTCATGATTTCTGAAAAGAAAACTCTCCATACTCTGGGAATGCCAAGTATGGTTGAATTACTGCATGCATTTAGTACCATTACAATAACAACTGGAGCTGGACCTTTTTTCTTTAAATCTGTCAAAATTATTCCAAAATTCAACTCTAAGGAAAGCTAAAAGAATTTCACTAAGGAGAGTAAGAACAGAGAGTTCACTCTGCCTGATATTATCACATAAAGATAGAATAATTAACAGTCAGGAACCGGCATAAGAAGAGATTGAAAATCAATCAACTTTCTGATTAATACAATATTAATATTATAGTAATATCATAAATTATATTCCAACAAAATTGAACTTCTCTGCTAAATTGTCTAGCTTGCCATGTTGGTACCACAATGGAATAGATGTTTACTTCACAAGGGATTATGTGATTGGACGGAAATAGCTAATAAAATGACTCCACAACTTATATATTTTGAAAGCCACTCATAAATCTACCTGGCTCTCTAGCAAATGCTGAAGCACTTCAAATGACAAAACATTATTCATCAATCTCAAAGTAATATACAGTTGACCCTTGAACAGCCCAGCAGCTAGGAGTTGTCAACCCCCTACACAGCCAAAAAATTCACATATAACTTTGGACTCCCCCAAAACTTAACTACTAACAGCCTACTGTTGACCAGAAAGCTAACCAATGACACAAACAGTTGGTTAACTTTTAAGGGTCAACCACACTTATCTCATGTTACAAGGCGATAAGACTTCAAAACCTCCCTTTGACCACTGTGGTCACCCCACTCAAAACTCATGAGCCCCCCCTACCCAAACTGCTCACTCTGGGTAATCCTGGGTGAGATAACAGGAGGCTTGGGGAGCCAGCACTGCCAGGTACCCTGTATCTCACTGATAACCCTTTCTGGAGCCTCCTTGATGGCTTTGAAATAAAACATAGCAACCACTTAAGTCCAGTTTGAATCATTCTTGGTAGTTGACAAACCTCTTGAGGTCTGGCTTGGTTCAGAACTCATTCCACCATCTCTCACCTATCCATTGTCTTTGGTCATCATCCAAAACATAACTTCCAGGAGAGCTCTAGTCTCATCTCTGCGTACCTTCACACTGCTCTGAGCTGCTTTAGCTCTGCAATTACCCACAATCCTACCCTGCTAGAACTCTGACATCACAGTCAGCAATGTTCTTGAACACGCTACACCTCTGCCTTAAAGTGAGAGCAGCCCAGGTGGCTCAGTCGTTCAGTGATACCTTCAGCCCAGGGCGTGATCCTGGAGACCCGGGATCGAGTCCCACATCGGGCTCCCTGTATGGAGCCTGCTTCTCCCTCTGCCTGTGTCTCTGCCTCTGTGTGTGTGTGTGTGTGTGTGTGTGTGTGTGTGTCATGAATAAATAAATAAAATCTTTTAAAAAATCACTTGAAGTGAAATTCAACTACAGCCCTCTCAAGATGAGCACACTTGTTTTCTCTGACCCTTTGTACCTCGGGGTTGATACATATATAGTCTAATGCGTATGTTAACATGTGCTAACATTAATGTTCTTGACAGGCAATATATCCAGTAAAATTTGAAAGCACAGACTTGCTTATGTTTGGGGTCCATGCTTCAGTGTCTATACATACGCTCTGATTAGAGATGAGCCTTCCTTATTCATCGGGTGACTAATGCTTCTTGATTTTTGATTCAGAATTTCATAGCCTTGTGGAATTATCTCTTCCATATTCTCAAATTTCTTCTCTCAATTGTTTCACAGTAATCTGCAGTAGTGCTGTGATCTGTTTTCACTGAGGCTACGATGAAACAGAATATAATTCCACCAAGATAACTGGAAATGCTTTCCTTAAACCAGCATGTGGACTATGATTAATTTAGAACTTCCCTTGCGTAGAAATCATTTTAAGGAAAGATACTGTTCCTACCTTCCTAACTCCCTGAAATTCCCTTGAATCAGGGACCACCCTTAAAGCTGTGGTCCTTGTTTCTACTAAAGCCATCCTGATTTTTTTTTCCTGTCTGGCTTAGTAGAGAGTAAGAAAAGCCTGATATCAAGATTCCCCAGGAACCTGAGACAGTAGACACTCTCCTATATTTTGATTGATCTCCTCAACAATGGTAGTCATTTAACTTTTGATTTCTTTCCAAGTAGTTTTTTCCTTCCACTCAGAACAGAATATTATAAATACAAATACTTTTCAAAGCACTGATAATAGTTCTAAAAACCCCTCCTTGCTAAGTGAAGTGAGCTTTTCACAATGATGCAATAATCCTAGCCAGGCCTGCCTAGCCCAATTATCAATTGGAATTTTGAGCAACTATAGGCACTCATTGTGCTCCAGGAAAGCCCAGCAAGCATAGGGCCCATTGGGTACTTGCTGGGTCAATCCACGCCATTACAAATGGCAAGATTTTATACCTTTGTATGGCTGAGAAATATTGCATTATATATATTTTGCAAATTTAATTTGACTACAATATGTCTTGATATTGGCCTCCTTTTGTTGATTTTGATGGGGGTTCTGTGTGCCTCCTGGATCTGGATGTTTCTTTCCCCAGATTAGGGAGATTTTCAGTTATAATCTCTTCAAATAAACCTTCTGCCCTCTTTTCTCTCTTCTTCTTCTTCTTCTTCTTCTTCTTCTTCTTCTTCTTCTTCTTCTTCTTCTTCTCCTCCTCCTCCTCCTCCTCCTCCTCCTCCTTCTTCTTCTTCTTCTTCTTCTTGAGGCCCCTATAATACAAATGTTATGTTTGTTAGAGTCACTGAGTTCTCTAAATCCACTTTTGTGATCCAAAATTTTCTTGTCCTGTTTTATTCACCTTCCTTATTTTCCATAATTCTATCTTCTATATCACTTATTCATTCATTCCTCGGCTTCTTACATCCTTATAGTCATTACACTCAGTTGGTCTTTAATCTCGGTTATTGCAGTTTTCATTTCAGGCTGATTGGTTTTTACCTCTTTTATCTCCATGGTAAGGGTCTTCCTGAAGTCTTCTATGCTTTTCTCAAACCCAGCTAGTATCTTTATGATTGTTGCTTTAAATTCTGGGTTAGGCATATTATTTATATCTGCTTTGATTAGATCCCTAGCTGTGACCTTTTCTTGTTCTTTCTTTTGGGAGGAATTCCTCCATCTTGGCATTTTTGTCTAAGTCTCTGTCTTCTTCTCTGTGTTAGAAAAGTCTGTTATGTTTCCTGCTCCTGAGAGGAATGGCTTTATGAATAAAAGGTCATATAATG